TCCACAATCAAAGGAAGGAATCATATTAGAGCTTAAATTCTGCACACCTGGTTTAAAGAAGGCTAAAAATGAAACCCAAAATCCATTTGCAGAGTCCCCACATGGATTAAGCCTCTATTGAATTTCCTCAAACCATTGAACAGGGATATGAACAGTCTTATCCACAGACAGGGTGAATTGAAAACTGAATTACTACAGATAGTTTGATTAAATTTAACATCTTACCATTTGTTTAAGGAACCCTAGTTGCATAGTGGGTTATACGTTCGGCTGCTAACCACGAGGTCAACAGTTCAAAACCATCAGCTGAAAGATGAGGCTTTCTACTCCCATAAAGAGTTTGTCTCAGATAGCCACGAAGTAGTTCTATTCTATCCTATCGTGTTGCTATGAATTGCAATCAACTTGATGGCAGGCAGTTTGATATTTTTGGATCATTGCTTTCTCTTTTGATGCATTTGTAACTTGTCCTGGTTTTTATTACTTTCTGTTTTATTTTGGAATGAGATTTTTCTGTGTTTCATTTTATTGCTGTTCCTGGGGGGGTTCGGTTTTTTGTCCTACTTTTTGTATGATTTTCTTTATAGGTAAACCTATAGAGAAAGCGACTAAATCAATAGTTTCATGGGGTTATGATGGGGGGGTGGAGTCAGAAAGAGAAAGAGATGTTAATAACAATGGGTGCAAGAATGACAAAAATTCTCCAAAATTTATTGGGGTGGTGGTTGTTCAACTTTTTTTTTTTTTTAATTTTTTTTTTAAAACATTTTATTAGGGGCTCATACAACTCTTATCACAATCCATACACACATCAATAGTGTAATGCGCATTTGTACATCGTTTCTCAAAACATTTTCTCTCCATCTAAACCCCCGACATTAGGTCCTCATTTTTCCCCTCCCTCCCTGCTCCCCCCTCCCGCATGAGCCCTTGATAGTTTATAAATGGGTATTTTGTCATATCTTGCCCTGTCCGACATCTCCCTTCATCCACTTTTTGGTTGTCTGTCCCCCAGGGAGGAGGTCACACACACTTCCATGTAATCGGTTCCCTCTTCCCTACCCATTCTCCCTTTACCCTCCCTGTTTTGCCACTCACACCGCTGGTCCTATAGGGCTCATCCGTCCTGGGTTCCCTGTATTTTCACATCCTATCTGTACCAGTGTACCTCCTCTGGTCTAGCCAGTCTTGCATGATAGAATTCGAGTCATGGTAGTGGGAGCGGGGAGGAAACCTTTAGGAACTAGAGGAAGGTTGTATTTCTCATCATTGTTACATCGCACCATGACTGGCTCATCTCCTCCCCTAGACCCCTCTGCAAGGGGATCTCCAGTGGCCTACTAATGGGCTTTGGATCTCCACTCCGCACTCCCCCCATCATTCACTATGGTAAGATTTTTTGTTCTGATGATGCCTTACACCTGATCCCTTCGACACCTCGTGGTTGGATAGGCTGGTGTGCTTCTTCCATGTGGGCTTTGTTGCTTCTGAGCTTGATGGCCGCTTGATTACCTTCAAGCCTTTAAGACCTCAGACGCTATACTTTTTGATAGCCGGGCACCATCAGCTTTCTTCACCACATTTGCTTATGCACCCATTTGTCTTCAGTGATCCGTTCGACACCCCGTGATCACACAGGTTGATATGTTGTTCCATGTGGGCTTTGTTGCTTCTGAGCTAGATGGCCGCTTGTTTACCTTCAAGCTTTTAACAACTTTTTATGCATTTGAGCTATTGATATGTATGATCTGTTCCTTATATATCAATAAGATCACTAAACATGGGTTTAAACAAAGCAATGTCGTGAGGATGGTGCTGGCTTGAACAGTGTTTTGTTCCATTGTACATGTGGTCATTATGAATCAGAACCAATTCAACAGCCCCTAATAACAATATACAACTTAATGTACCCAACTGAAACAAAGTTGTAATATTCAACTTTCACCTTCATGGCACTTAAGAGTGAGTGATTTCTTTCAACTCAGCGTTCAAGCAATAGAATAAAGGCATATCATGCCATTTTGCATACTTCACAATGTTAGAAATAGCTTACAACCATGATATGTGTAAGTGCTTGTAATTACTCCGATATCTCCTTTAATTTTTGTAAAGAAGGTAATAAATGTGCATTTTCCACAGGACACTAGTACCTGGAGCTGTGAGTTAGCATCTCCTAACTCTCTAATGGCTTGGATAAAACACCTAACTTGCCCTCCAGCCTGGTACCTCAATCAGAATAATGGCAAAGCTACAGGCATCCATGTATCTCTAGATGTATCAGAGAGAGAAAGGGGTATGCTGTCATTCATTTTTCTATAACTTTAGTGAATAGCTATAATCTATTTATGAGGCCATTATTCTTTTGAAAACTCCATATACAGAAAAAAAATCATTGTGCTACTATGCAAGGAGAGGGTAGCTACAGAAAACCAAGGACTCTCTCTCTAGAACTGATGAAGGACTAGCAATAACAAGGGCCAAATGAAGTGTGTCTATTTGGTAAAGTAACAGGTGAACATATTATAAATGATGCACCATGTGGAAAAATGTCTCTTCCGTTACTATCACTCATATTATAACACTAAATATAGCAGCTCCACGCAGATGCAACTGATTGTCTTCATAATCAAATTCTTAAAGGATTGCACACCCTATAATTATATTTTTGAAACATCACAGAAACCCAAAAGGTGCCTATTTATAGTTATCAGAGTATGTTGATCAGGATAGAGCTGTGTTCAAGGCCACATCTCTGCCTAAATAAAATTAAAGACATCATGTGCTCTTAGTGATCAGAAAAAGAAAAGACTTATTTTTTTATTTTTTTTAAAAAGAAAGAAAAAAAGAACAAATAAAATCTTGTCCTTGACTGGAAAAACTTCCACCAGATAAGAGAAAATTATAGTCTCTCTGAAAATATCCAGTATTAATTTGGTTCAACATAGCAGCCAAAAGGAAGATTGTGTGATTGTACTTTAAATTTTTTTTAAAAGAAAACAACTTTTTTTAAGAGCCTGCTTCTTTCTGTGCCCTAAAAGTTTCAAAGCCGACAAATAATTATCTTATCACATATGGGAACAAAACTTCATAGAGAAGCAGATCTTGGTATCAATTTCCAAACCAAATCACTGTCATCCAGTCAACGTCAGACTCATAGCCACCCCACTGTGGGTTTCCAAGACTGAAACCATTTATGGAGTAGAAAACCCAGTCTTTCTCCCGAAGAGCTGCTGGTAGTCTCGAACTGCTGACCACGTGGATCGCAGCCCAATGCGTAACCACTACACCTCCAGAGGAATAAGAGATAAGGATATTTACAAGAAAACTCTATTAGTATAGAAAGCCCTTAGCCCCAGCTGAAGTCCTTAGTAGTGATAATTCCTACTTAATGTTAAAGGAGCCCTCGTGGCACAGTGGTTAAACTGCTCGATCACTAACCAAAAGGCGGGGCGTTTGAACCCAGCAGCCCTTCTGTAGAAGAAGGATGTGGCAGCCGGCTTCCAGAAAGATTAGGGACTTTGTGGGGCAGTTTTACTCGGCCCCACAAGGTAAGCACGAGTAGGAATTGGTTCCATGGCAATGAAATAAGCAAGTATAATTACAGCTGTCCATGGATATAGGCTCCTTACACACAAAAGTTTTTGTGAGCATAGGCACTTTGTAAATATGACATTCGATAAACTGCAGAGAACCAGCTTCAAGTGTCATTCTTCATGCATGTCCAAATAGGAGAAACACCTTCACCAATAATAAGCACTGACTCGTCATTTCAAATCTAGCATGCAGTGCCAAGAAAATCTTCCTGTTGTTCAAATTTAAATATTTTTGTGGTACTTGTTTTTAAGTCATCCAATAATTTTCTCATCCCTAAAATATCCGTTCCTTTTTGCATCCATCTAAGAGAGATGGTACTAAGTAGGAGTAACTGTTTGTGACCCGGAAGGGAAACCTACTAAACAATTACTAATAAATTACAAACTGAACTGGATCCTATTCTTAAATGCTAGGCAAAAGCATTCAGACAATCCATATGCTATAAGCTATTTTTGTTACACGGTAGTGATTAAAACCGCTTCTATGAAGGGTTAAATTAATCCAAAAAAATTATTTCCTAGTATTAAACTTGCTATGTGAAAGATAGGGCAAGAGTTTAACACTGAAGTTTCACAAGAAAACAATAGTTATCTGAGCACTAGCGCAGCAGAAAGGCGAACTGCTTCTGATTCCCAGGAGGCATCCCTCACAGATCATTATTTCTGATTATTGTGGTAGAGCATTTTTCATTTAATGCTTGAAAAACATCCAATACACCATGCTCTGCTTCATTTGATGAGTTATGTTGAAACCACTCATTTCCATTTTCTCTTACACCTGTAAAATGTCAAATAAGAGTGATAAGACAGTCAATTTACCTTCAATTTCCCCAAGAATGTAAGGTTTTAGAGAGTGAATATAAGTACCCTAAAATAATAGATTCATGTATTTTCTCAATTCTCTTTCTCCTTATCCCACTGGCAGGTAGGGGAGAAACTATTTCTGATACTCTTTCCTTTAAAGTGCTAGTTTTAAGGGGCATAAAAGGGTCACTCTTTAACTTAAAAAAAAAGTTCTCAAACATACTTGTTTTCTCAGTAAATATCTTTCAAAAGGAAAAGTCTACAAAAACTATAGAACCTTCTCTGGAGTGTATATAAAAAGTAACCCAAAAAGTAGCTATGAGTGAAAAAAGTAATAAAGATTTGAGAACTACTTAAAAAGATATCAAATGTAAGTGGTTCTACTCAACTTAACTCCTTTTTCACTCTTCTTTTATGCATGCAAAGACTCATACAGAGGCAAAGCAATCGATTTCAACTACAAATTCTAACAGCAATTACAAAGAAATAAAAATGAAAACCAAAAAATTATCATTTTATAAGTAGGAAAAATGGGCCATAGATATTAAGAGGCCTTAAGAATCACTCTCTTCCTCAGCACCACAGAAACAATGCACCCAGATATATAATAATCATAATTCACATTTTATTTCTAAACATACACTTTCATACTAGTATAACAAAAGACATTACAAGGTGAATCACATTCCAATCCTAATTTTCATTACAGTAAGATTTTAAAAAGGATTACAAACCTACTGCATGGATAACATTGCATTGCAATAACAGTGTGCAATTTTCCACATAAACATGAAAAACAAAGGATGGGTGTTAATAAGGAACAAAAGCATCATCTATCTTGAAATATCACAAAATTTACTTCAAAGAGGCTTCTGAATAAATATTAAGATTGATCATAATCTTATGTAATTTATCCTAAGCATACATAATAAGCACCCAGAAATCAAATTAAAAAGATACTCAGAAATCAAAATTATACTTCAAGAAAATGTACTCTACACACATAATTAAACCAGAGTTTGTAATGGAGTTTAAGGCCAGATCTTACAGGTGGGTAGTTGTTTGTTTTTACATGAACAACAGTTCAACTCTTCATCCACATCAAAACCGTCCTTGTTTGGCATCGCCAATAGCTCCCCACACATCGAAGACAAATTCATCTGGGAACGCAAAGTCTCCAAGAGTTTCATCAAGTGCCACAGCAAATTCATCAGGATTCACTTTGTCCTTTCCAGCTTCAAACATTGTAGTAGCTATAAAAAATATTTTAAAAATTATTGATAAATGCAATAAAGATCACAGAACTGATGGTACAAATATGCCAAGAAAATGACTTTTCTAAAAGTAGCATGCATACCCATCATATTATTCTAATGCAAATTAAAACAATGACAACAAATTAAAACCCTCCATCACACATCAGAGTAGCAAACATATTTTTTAACAATCTTCCCATTGTGCTAAGTTTTGAAGGTACCCCTCCTGCCCAACCTTGGCGCTCAACACTTGGGAATCCTTGGGTTTCCCGTGGGCAGAACATGACACTCTGAAAGAAGGCACGGCAGTAATCCTGGCGGGAGACTTAGTGTATGCTCCTCACTCTTGGTCTTTAGCTCACTAAGTCCCCCTCACCAGTTCCCTGCCCTCAGATATGATGGACCCTGTGCTCGTTCCTTGAAGAGGAAAAAAAAGGATGACAACTTGTAATGGGGCATACAAAGCAGGAGCAAGGGAAGGGGGGTAAAATAGAAGTAAGCCCTCTTTTCTGGGCCCCTCTCCAATTGGGGATAGAAAGTGAAGATGGTGCTTTTGTTCTATTTTCTAATAAGCTATCTAAGTTCCACTGTCTATGTCTCGGGCCTGCTCCAGCTGGCTGGGGACCCAGGAGGTTTAGCCAGTTCTTGCTCAGTCCCAGGGAGCACCAGCATCGAACAAAAAGAAATATGGATATGATTTAGGATTTTGGTGAAGTTCCCTCTCTAAGCCCCAAACCTCCACGTAAAAGGGAACACTAACCCAAGAGAATCGCTCTCGGGAGTCCTTCCCTTACAGATTAAGGTTTAACTAATTAAAGTTGTAGAGCCCTGGTGGCCTTATGGGTAGCGTGTTGGGCTACCCACCATAAGATTAGCAGTTTGAAACCACCAGCTGCTCCATGTAGATAAAAGAGGTTGTCTACCTCTATAAAGAGTTATAGCATCAAAAATGCACAGGGGAAGTTCTATCCTGTCCCATAGGGTTACAATGAGTCAACATTGACTCAATGTCGGTGAAAATGAAAGTTCTATGATTAATCTCAATGAGCTATGATGCCTGGTGTTCTGTCTAAAATTCACTCAATAGCTCATGAGCTTTTCTTTACTCAAATAATTCAATAATAACATAAAACAGACTAAGGAGAAAGGAGACGAGATGGCTCATAGCAGGCACCGCCAGTCAAAACAGTAGATATGGGTGGGATGACGTGGTACCAGGGCTCAACCTGAGCAAGGGGAAGAAGGACAACATGGTGTGAATGGGAGCCCAGGTACGGTGAGGAGGACATCAGGGAAGGGGGTGAAGGAGGCAAGCTCAGAAGCAGCTACATTGATGAGAGATTGATTATGAGCATAAGGATTGGTATATAAGTACAAATACTGAAATTAATAAGAGCCGAGTTTCTCACTGCCAAGAAGGAAAAACAGAAAAAGAGAACATTTCAATCAACACTGTGGTAGATATCAATGGGGTTTGAATATATACATACACATATGCATACACATATTTAATAAGGACGAAGGTTTTAAAACACAGATCTACCTCCATGCACACAGCGAGAACCTGAATGGTGGTAAAATTGAGATGTGTTGGTTACAGAGGACCTGCCATGTGTATATCAGAGCATCAGTTCACAGGAGGGCTATTGATATTCTACAGAGCTTAGGGAAAGCAGGGGCAACTGGCCCCCAGGTGATGCTGGAGATTGACATGCTCAACCCCATCCATTTGTTCGGCCTTTTTTCTCTAATTTCCTTTTTTTTTTTCCTTTCTTCATTTTTTTCCATTTTTTTATTTTAAACTATTTTCTCTCTTTTGCTTTTTCTCTCTCTCCTTTTCATTCTTCCTTCTTCCTCCTTCTGTGCTGTGGTTTCTATCATTCCTCTCGGGCACCACATGGCAAAGACAACTATGTCCACACCACCCAGGAGTCCCCCCACCCTAGTAGCTGCACTCCAATGGCGAGGAGCACAGTCAATCTCAGTCCATTGAAAAAGGAAAAAAGGAAAAAGAGAGAAACAGGCACAGACATGTAAAGAAGACCCCAAACCAAAGGAATTTTCTGAAGAAGAAAAATCTCTGGAACTATCAGAAAAAGAATTCAAAAGATTGTTGTTCGGGTACTTTCAATCGATGTGGAAAGAGTTCAAGAGAACAAAGGGGGGAACAGAAAAGCTAGAAACCTTAAAAGAAAAACCGCAAACATAAACCCAGAAGGTAAACATTACGATAAGAGGATTACACAACATTTTAAAAGACAGAGCAACAGAACTGAAGAAATGGGAAGCTGAATGGGTAAGTTTCAAGACAAATCTCTCAACTCACATGTATGAGAAGTCTAAAAAAAACCTAAGAATTATATGGCAGACCACCACGAGGAACAATTATATCTCATTGGGATTCTAGACCAGGAGCAACAACAAAAATCTACAAAGAAAATAGTACAAGAAATCCTGGGAAGTGTTTCCCTAACAGCTGAAAGAGGCAAAATTCATTATCGGGAGCTGAGAGAACCTCAAACAGGAGATACCGCAAAGGAAGCATCAGGACACATTTGAGATAAACTCTCCAATGTCAATGAAAGAGAAAGCACCCTGAGAGCAGGTAGGAAAACATAAGTCACCTACGAAGGAAGACAATAACAATAAGCTTGCATGTCTCAGCACACAGGTTGAAAACTGCTGATCTAGAAGAAGAAGAAGAATAGAGCATATAGTTGAACATATTATAAATTCTCCCTGATAGATAAAATATAGCTATACCCACTGCTGACAAGCTGATTCTGACTCATAGTGACTCATGGGGGTTCTGAGACTCTAAATCTTTATGGAAGCAAATAGCCTTATTTTTCTCCCACGGAACAACTGGTGGGTTTAAACTACCACCTTGCCAACAGCAGTCCACGCTTACCCAACAATGTCAGCAGGCTTCTGAAAAATCCTTACAGGAGAAATATACTGCTGTAGTGTTTTCAGAGATTGTATCTCTGATTTAAAAGAAAAAAGAAAATCTGCAATTAAGTGAAATACTTCTTAGAAAGTTATTTCACATAAGTTAATGATAGCTACTAAAATGTTTTTCACCTATTAACTATTATAAATAATACAATACTTTATAATCACAGAATGCCTATTGACAATCTGACCGAAAAAAATTCCACTGGCTACAATTTTACAGTGCATACACAGCACAGTGCTGACCTCTAGTGGTAACTTTGATATTAAACTGTTATAACAATAAGGTAACTATCACACCCATGCCTCATCTATGGACAGTTAGGTTCCAAAGACAAAGTTGTTATTTGAGACCAACATTAAGTGACGGTTGTGTCTCTCAATCATCAGTTACTCACTATTCATTGGGTATTCCTGGCACGTCACAGGGTGTGGGGGGCATGGCAGCGCCCATGTGGGATGGAGGGGGTGGTCTGGTGTTGCTAAGCACCCAAGACCTCCATAGGCCTGCTTGTCCTTCCTCCACTCTAGGCAGCAGCCTCATGTGGCTCTCTTTCCCCTCCACCCCATCACTGAACTCCCAGGAAACTTTTAAGGGGTGCTCACTGGTCTCCCCAAGCCCACCTGCAACCTCATACCATTCTTCTGTCGCCTCCCATGTTCACACCAAGACACTGCAGATGAACAGGAGACAGTGTCCTACAGCCATCAACTATTGTTGTTCTCATGTGGCCCAATCACAGCTGGGGCCTCTAATTTATCATTTGCAGTAGCTTATGGAACCCACTTCAGGCCCAGCCATTCCCCATATAGGGCCTGGGCCATCAGAGGCACTACCGGAAAACTTTTTCAAAGTTTTTCTAAATACAAAATGATGGATAAAGAGAGGCTTGCTAAGCGAGAAGTAGGTATACTGAACTTTTTCAGTATTATTGACAAACTTATTTTTGGTAATAAAGGGAGATATGCATTTTCTCATTAAATTATAAAACACTTAAACAGTACCTTTAAGCATGAAATAACACGACAAGGCTTTTCCCGTCCGGGAGGCAGCTATCGCATTAGAAAAGCAGCAGTAGAAGCAAGTGGCAGAGTGTGGGACTGAGTGACGGACTCCCAACCCACGGAGGAAGTAAAGCTGCGTGCTTCTGTGCATGAGGCAGATTTGCAGAGTGGGCAACCCTGGGATACTGAATTGGGGAGGCTGGACTTGGAGAGCCGAGTGCCTTTGGGCTCAGGCTTACTGGAATAGGGTGCCTCTGGACCCTTAGTTCAGAGAACTGGGTTTGCTGACCCTTGGAGCTTCCGTTGAGGTTTATAGCAGAGTGGTATGCTTTTGGAGCATTTATTAACAGTCTTACCAGAACTTCGGAACTTGTCTTGATAATCAATTCGTGTCTCACTGACATGACATACGGCATATTAACTTCCTTAATAGACCCTTCAATCAATGAATATTATAACTCAGGGAAGTAAAATAGAGACTACTAATTAAGACTAATAATGTCAGCTCTTGGATTAAATCTCATCTTTTACACTTCAATCCTCAGTTTCCAAAGCTATATAATGGCGCATAGCAAGGTTTAGACAAAGTTTAGTCATTACCGTTGTTAATTTAGCCACTAACTCTGTTAACTACATCTCCGTCTATGAAAGTTCCTCCAAATTTATTTTTCTTAAGACATTCCATAAATATCAACCATTTCAATCAATTCACACAAGTCAACATTAAAACACAGCCAATTTAGAACATGATTTTTGTTGGGATTTTTTATCAGTGAAAAACTATTTCCAAAAATTCACTGACTTTATAAGAAG